ACCGTCATGCGCGGTTGAGACCACACCCTCTTCTTATACACATCTAGATGTGTATAAGAGACAGGTGTCATCCACGCGTCATCCACGTGTCATCCACGTGTCAATCTAAGATGAGACATGCATCTCCCCTGTCCCTGAATATATTTAACAAATTGACATCATGTGAAGCATACAAGGAAGAGCGTACCACTAGTCGTGTGGGGAAGGAGAAGAGCGTGCTACGTGTCACGCGCGACTTTGGAAGGAGAAGACCGTGCCACGTGTCACGCGCGACTTTGGAAGGAGAAGAGCGTGCCACGTGTCACGCGCGACTTTGGAAGGAGAAGAGCGTACCAAGTGTCAGGTATGACAGAAAGGAGAAGCGCATCCCCATGACCACAACGCAGAGTAAAATACAAAGAGGTAAAAACCATTAAAAAAAAAAAGAAAAAGAAAAGCAGAAATACGTTTTAGGAGTTTAAAAAAAACTACGAATAGAGAAGAGAGTAGAGCAGCTTCTATGACCGACACCAAATCAAAATCGCCACGTCACTTCTTCCAGTCCGACGTGTGACACGTGGCAGATCTATCATCATATTAACATTACCACACGACCTCCATCTTCACAATCACCGCCGACCACATTCACCCGCGCACAAGTCTTCTTGCTTCTCATTAACCCATTTTCATGATGGCTGTCATCATACCGTCATCATAATCATTATCATCAGCATCATCTTCATCAGCATCACACCGCCATCATCATCATCATCATCATCATCATCATCATCGCCATCATGACTATTATCATCAGTCTCATCATTGTCATCCTTATTACCATCGATTAAAACAACCATCGCCCGCCTACTCGTGAAGTAGTGCTTCTCTCTCCGGTTGGCGGGAATTTCAGTTGGCGGGAATCCGTATCAAGTAGTGCTGCTCTCTCCTGTTGTTGGCGGGAATTTCACTACTCTTTGATTTGGTGGCGGGAATCCGCCGTCCTCGTACATCTAGAAAATGACGATAGATCAATCACCACCAAAGACTACTATCGTTCCCGCCAACAGGAGACAGAAGCACATACTCTGTCTTACGAATCCAAATCGCGCCTCTCTCTCTCTCTCTCTCTCTCTCTCTCTCTCTCTCTCTCTCTCTCTCTCTCTCTCTCTCTCTCTCTTTCTCTTTTTCACACACCCACACCCCACACACACACACACACACACACACCTGTCTCTTATACACATCTAGATGTGTATAAGAGACAGCACACACACACAGACAGATAGCCGTCAATAGCGTAAACATTTTCAATCATATACCCTCTATGAAATGGTGTGGACACGCACACGACCTGACTCGGTATCGACTGTGACGAGTCCCGTAGAGCCTGCGGATAGATAAGGTTGCCATCGTGCGAGCAACCGGGAAAAATAGCAGTAGAGGTGTGTGTGTGTTGGACACAACAGCCATGCAGAAATGGAGCAAAGTGTGTTGTGATATTCGCTATGCACTCAAAAAAAGCATGACTGTGCCAGACGGTTTCGTCGGACTTTCATAAACTCATCAGGAGGTTGCAAAGTGTGTGTGTGAATTGCGGTGTCCATGTGGTGTTGTGTGTGGTGTGTGTGTTTTGGACACAACAGCCATGCAGGGGTGGGGGTGGGGGGTGGACATCGCACGTGCCCGTTCATCACACGTGCCTGGTAACTTGCACGGACACCATGTCCGGTTGCTCGCACGGACATGGTACGATTCCACTTGTGAACACCACATCGAGGCTGTAGTGGTTAAGAGACTTGGTTCTTGTGGCTGACAGTGCCACTTCGTGTCCATGCGCTCAGGGATTGGGCCTGAGGCCCTAAAGAATGGATCCATATCGACTACTATCACAAGGTAATAATACATCAGAGCAGAGCAGACGTTCAATTAGAAGTAAAAAAATATCACAGTCCTTGCTTTCTGGAGATCTTCCTTCCACAAACGTAAGTGCAGGGCTACCGTCTTCACCCAAATAAAACGCCCGGTCATTATCGCTGCATCTAGACTGCAAGTTGTGCCAAATGGAGCTATAACAACCGGATGTTCTACTCGGGTGACGACGGTAGGTTCAGGTTCACGTGCAGGTTCAGGTTCACGTTCAGGTTCACGTTCAGGTTCAGATTCATTGGCCGTGAACCTGAACCTGATCCTGATCCTGATCCTGAACCTGAACCTAGACGGGAGTTCACACCTTGATAGACATAGACTTAGTAACATTGATGCAGCAGAGGCTTTGCAAAGTGCAGGGCTCTCCTGAGACTGAACCTTGACCTGGAGTTCGAACCCTGATGCAGCAGACGCTTCGCAAAGTGCAGTGCTCTCCCTCCGAGTACAGTGTGTACGGTCGTGAATACAGTGTATACGGTCGTGAATACAGCATATACAGTCGTGAATACAGCGTATACGGTCGTGAATACAGTGTATACGGTCGTGACTCTGTTTTCGTCCCTCTGCGTGTCCATTCGGGTTCTCGTTCACCTCAACCTAAAGCTGAAATGCAAAGGCTTCGAAAAAAAGAGCAGGGCTCTGAAACCGGATGTTTGTGTTGATGGAACCTGAAAAAAGTAAAAAAAAAAACAAAACGCGCATACATTAAGAGTTAAAAAAAAAAGAAAAAAAGAGAGAGAGAGAAGTGCCCAATTGAGCATGTAACACGCATGTAGTTCTTTTGCTGATTCTCAGTGAGCGTGTGCAGAAGCAATTGGCCAATGATTCTCAGTGAGCGTGTGCAGAAGCATTTGGCCATTGCTTGTTATTGGGCGGCGCTCCACTACTCTCCGAATGTGAAAAATGAGACAATCCTCCACTAGAACATGGAAAGATACATTGCCAAATCTTTTATCTTTTGTGCATGTGGAGAGTAGTGAAGCGAGGCCCACTCTTCTTCTTCTTCTTCTTCTTCTTCTTCTTCTCCCAAATATAGGTTTTGAGGTCAGGTTCATTGAACCTGAAAACCTGCAATGCTAGGAGATTCAGGATTGTTGTTAATCACCGTGTCTATTTTCATCTGATCCTAGCATTGCAGGTTTCGAGGTTAGGTTCATCGAACCTGAAATTAGACGTTTTTGTTTTGGGGGGAAAAAAAAAGAGAAAACAACACAGACACACACACCCAAAAAAAAAAGCCTACAAAGATGTATTTTCACTGCCAGGGGGGGGGGGGAGGAAAAAGGGGGGGGGTATCAGTAAGGATGCCTGGCTCTGACACTTACCCGATATCTGAATGCTTCATAGGTTCCATAGACAACACCTGTCGCCGAAGCAAGGAAGCCCAAAAAGCAAAAACAATTTTTAAATCCAGAGTGTAAATTAATTTCGGAGAATTAAAGGAAATTAAAAAAAAAAAATTGGGGAAATGAAAGAAGAATAGAAAGGAAAGATCCAAAAAAGAAAACGAAGATGCACGCTCCAAAACATACCCCAAAAAAAATTAAAAATAAAAAGTATTAAAAAAGTATTAAAAAGAAAACATTAGCATGGCCCCTGAGCAAGAAGGACACGCATAATAAAACGAGAAATGGTCCAAGTTTTTTTTGGTTTTTTTTTTAAAGGAAGAAAGAAAAAATAAAGGTATCTGCTCCACAGCTCGGCAAAAACAGTGAGAATTGGCTACCCTCTTCCCCGGAATAGAACGCACAGTCATTATATATTGTCACATTGTGAATCAGAGCGCAGAAGCGAAAAAAAGGGGAAAGAAAAAAGGAAAAGGAAAAAAGGGGAAGGGGAAGAGGTAAGGAAAGCTCCACCTGTTCATAACCTCTTACGTACAAGGCCAGCCACGTGGATGACAGGTTGAGCGCTGGCTGTATTTGGGCCAACTTTCAGTCTAAGATACAGAGATAATGACCGTGTATTTGGGCCAACTTTCAGTCTAAGATACAGAGATAATGACCGTGCGTTCTATTCCGGCGAAGACTTTAGTGTTCCTTTTCATGTTTACACTCGCCATTTTTTATTTTTTTCCCTTCTGAAAAAAAAAAGAGCGACGGCTTTGAGATATCATCATTGAGCTGACCGGCTCCAGGCAATTCAGAAATATTTAAATATTTGGTTTTACTCATCGAGTTCTATCACAAGGAATCGAACAGGGGTCTGCATTTCAACAGTTCATGGGTGTACCCACTGAGCTAGGCTCTAGGGTACACTACAGTCTTCACCCGAATACAATGTACCGTCATTATACCTGTATTTGGGACAGCTTTGAGTCTAGATACAGCAGTAATGACAGTACGTTGTGTTCGGGTGAAACCGGTAGCCATTTTGGTGGTAGCCGTTGGAGGCTTCGATAGGGTAAGCTGTCGACCGAAGGGGAAAATAATGATAATGATAACGAAAAAAAAAAATGATCAGCCGATCCCCTGATGAACGTGCTTCGCTACCCGCCGAAACGCGTCGACCGCCCATCCTTTCTTTTTTTTTTTTTTTTTGGTCTGCCACTCCCGTGTTCTTTGTCCGATTTCGTCACCGATATGAAGGAGAGGTCGACCGGAAAAAAAAAAAAAGAGTGAGCGGGCTGATCGAAATCTTGTTGTTGTTGTTGTTTTCTTTCCTTCTTCGTTTTTTGGGGTATGATCGAAATCCAACCGCTCACTTTCCGTTTTCTTTTTTCTTGGGGGGGGGTGATTAAGAATTATTAAATGCATATAATATAATTGATTTGCACGAAGGACTATGATGAAATACACTGTTCTTTCAAAACACACACACACACACACAGAGTTCATTCTTCTTTTTTTTCCTTTTTTTTTTAAATCAAAATATAGATATCTGTAGGGAAAAGAATGGATTGCCATCGCCATCGCCATCGTCAACACTTGGTTCGAGCCGAACCGACAATTAACACGAATGTATCGGGCCGGCAAAACGGCTTAGATGCATAGATGATGCCCCACACCGAAAAACGATAACATACACTGTCGACTACCTTCTTTCCCGAACACGACTCCTAGTTATCACGACTGCATCTAGCCAGGAATGCGGGTCCTGTACATTCATGGTGGACTGGGCGGGCGTTGAGTCTGGGGGAGAAACGCAGTTGTGATATCGTATATCCGCCGCCTCCTCTTTTATTGCAAAAGATTTCGAAAATCATGCACTTGCACACCTGCCACTCATAATAATAATCATACTGATGATTCCGACTGCATCTATCCGAAATGCGGCTCAGATACATTCGTGGTGACCGTACATGGCATTGCATTTACACTCATTATAATAGTCATAAACCCTTCTTCTCTGTTGTCGACTGAGCGGAAAATGACATGGATACCCATCATCATCATACCGCCATCATCATCATCATCATCATCCCCATCATACTCATCCTCATCATAACAATCATTATCCTTATCATCATCGTCATTATCTGAAAATCCTCTGGTAGGACGTTATCACCACCCACCCCGCACACAATGCACCCTCATCCTGAATGTATACAAGCAATCTTTCCGGCCCGATACCCCTCTTCCTCCTCCACCTCGCCCCCCTCCCCCTTCTAGTTCTCTTCCGCCTCCTCCTCCTCCCTCTTCCCTCTTCGTTCTCTTCCTCCTCCTGCCTCTTCCCTCCTCGTTCGCTTCCTCCTCCTCCCTCTTCTCTCCTAGCTCTCTTCCTCCTCCGTCTTCCCTCCTCGTTCTCTTCTTCCTCCTCCCTCTTCCCTCGTTCTCTTCCTCCTCCCTCCTCCTCTTCCTTCTCCTCCCTCCTTGTTCTCTTCTTCCCTCCTAGACCTCTTCCTCCTCCCTATTCCCTCCTAGCTCTCTTCCTCCTCCGTCTTCTCTCCTCGTTCTCTTCCTCCTCCCTCTTCTCTCGTTCTCTTCCTCCTCCTCCCTCCTCCTCCCTCCTCCTCCTCTTCCTTCTCACCCTCCTCCCCCTCCTCCTCCTTTTCCTCCTCTTTTTCCTCTTTCTCCTCACCTTCCTATGCCTAATTTCCATCCCCCTCCCCTTCCCCCCCCACCCAAACAATCTTTCACCGCAGATTTCTCATTCTCGCTTTCATCGTATCCAGGTCATTATGACATCCATCTAATCACACAAAATCATTTACTTACTGAGATACTAATAATTTACAGAAAAGGTCACAGATTGACCCGTTAGACCAAAAGTTCTACCCATCTGAAGAAATATAAGTCACCCCAAGTTAGACCCACAATTACACAACCCACTGTATTAAACTGCTAGGTTCCCCTCTGGTAAAAACAAAAACGCCGAAATTTCGTCCAGGTACGTAACACTACAAGACTCCTTTGGGCATTTAGCTTTGACGTTCCCGGCCGCAATTTCGGCGTTTTTGGAAACGCAATCGTCAGCGCAATTTTGGCGTTTTTCGAACCGAAATCGTCAGAGCAAATTTTCGCTCTGACGATTTCGGCGTTTTTGAAAACGCAATCATCAGGGCAATTTTGGCGGGCAATTTTGGCGTTTTTCGAACCGAAATCGTCAGAGCAAAATTTCGGCGTTCTTGAAAGCAAAAGAGGAGTGCCCTGTCCCAGAAAATACACCCAGGTTTCTGCCCATCCAGGTGCAGATCAGCTGCTGCTCATCTAGGTGCATTTTTTCAAAGCAGAGGCTAGTTTCTGCGTTCGCAAACGTGAGCCGGGCATTGAAGTACTTTTCCCCTGTTTTGTTGTATTCCGCTGTTCCCTTACCTCTCTTCTTTCCCTCTTTGCCCTTTGGCTGTGGGCAAGTGGGTCGATATGMCACACGGGGGTGGGGGCAGCCGCCGCTCAGCTCAACCTACATCCACGTGGGCGGCCTTGTACACAAGAGGAGGTTCTGAACAGGGGGAGTCTTGTAAGGAAAAAGATTAAAAAAATGAATCATTATTTCTTTTTTCTTTTTTTCGCTTTTGCGCCCTGATATTCGTGTGACGATATATATACTC